AGGTGTGTGTGTGTGTGTGTGTTCCTTGTCAGGCGCTGACTGCCACTCTAGCAGACCACGGTGTCTTGTGTAGTAAGTACCCTGAACCCACACACCCGCCCAGTGTCCCAGGTTCTTCCTTGAGCCCCACGGGCGAGCCTGGAAAGGGTCCTGCCCACCCTCATACCCACCTGCAGCGCAGCCACCTCCAGCTTCACATCCACGGCGGCGAGGCCGGCCTTCCCTTGCTCTGCGGCCAATTGGTGAAAGAACCGCCTCCACCTGGTCAGCACCTCTGACAACTGCAGCTGAAAAATGCAGGCCCAAGCGGCCCTCTCAGTGCCCAGATCCCTGCCCCAGAGGACAGCTGAGGACGGTGCCTGTGGTTCTCAAATGCCAGGCTTCACGGGCAAACGTGAGGTCCTGCAGCTGGGACGTTCTGGCACTTACCAGGAACTGGGGTCTCCCCAAGGCAGTGAGCTTGATGGCTGAGAAGCCGTCCTCACTGGTGTTACCTGGTTGAAACCACAGAGAGGGCGTTGAGGGCTGCTGAAGAGCTGGGCAGAGTGAGCCGGGTGGGCTGGACCCCCCAAGGCTGCTGGCCCCACAACTCGACCTCTGACCAAGATTTCACCCAGTCTAGAAATGCCCTCACGTGGAGCTGCTTGGGGGGGAAGACCCCTTGCCGAGATGAGGACAGCCCAGTGGGCAGCGACTCAATCTGTCCCGCAAGTCCTGGAGGGTGGTCAGACAGTGGGCAAAAGAACCACAGAGACTTGCCTGTGCCTCAGTTTCCCCTCTTCTACCACCAGCACCCCCACTGCTTATGTGAATGCAGAAGGCAGGTCGGAATGTAGAGGGTGCAGACTGGCAGCCCCATCCCTGGCCCCCTTCAGCATTTTGCTTCTCTGGCGAGACAGGTCGCTGGTACCGTAAAATGGGACCAAGGGTCAGCTTGAGCGGTGACCTAGTTAGTGGTAAGGAGTTGCGCTGGCAACTTAAAGGTACACGGTTTGAATCCACCAGCTGCTCCACAGGAGAAAGATGGGCAGTCTCCTCCCTTGCAATTAATTAACTGCCTCTGAAAACTTGCTGGAAGGTCAGCTATGGGTCAATGGAACACAACAACAACAATTCTTGCAGTGTTAGGAGGTGGAAGGGGCAGAGTTCTCAGGACAGCAGGTCGCTGGCCAGGCTGGCCTTCAGGAGGGTGCTGCCACCCGGCCTTGTTTCCAGTGCTGAGACCCTGATGACCACCCACCAACGTCACTTCCCCACCAGAGGCTTCAGTGTGCTGTGCCGCCCACCCTCAGACACCCAAAAAGCACACTGCCCAGGACAGGCACACTTGGGCCACTGCAGCTGCTACCCAAGGTTCCGTCTTGGGTTCTGCTCTTCTGGTGACCAGGAGGGACCAGGGCGGGAGGCAGAGCCAGAAAGGAGGCACCCTGGGCTCCTCAGAAAGGGGCTGGATGCAGCAAAGCCAGAGTGGGACTAGTGGCTACATTAAGCTACATTAAGCTGGCCCAAGTCCCCCCTTGTCACCCCACATCATCTGCTCCTTTTCAATCCACAGCAGACAGATCGAGAGTCCCAGGTGACCAGCCCTTTCCTGAGCCGCTGTCCCCTCGCTCACCATGTGCCCAGGGGTTACGCCCAGGCTGGGCGTGGCCAGCAAAGCCCCAGCAACCCCACCTGACACCTCGATGCAGCGCAACAGTGTCTCCATGTGACCATCACACTTGGTTTCATTGGCGTAGAAGTAGGTGCGGGCGCTGATGCCGCCATCCCTGCCGTCCCCGGAGGAGCGGTGGGCCTGGTATTGCTTCTCCCTCTTACTTGAACCTACAAAGGCCAAAGGTGTGTGTCCTTCTGCTGAAAACCCCCTGCCCCTCCACTCCCAGCCACCCCCATGCACAAGATGGGCAGACTGTACTCTGGCCGCTGCCCTTGGCTTGGTGGCCTTGGGCAGCCCCAGGCGTGCTGAGTCCCTGCTCCTGCTGCCACGCTCCTGGGCCTTGGCTCCCATAGGCCATCTTCTCATCCAGCGCCAAGTCCTGGCCTTGATGCTCTGTCCACCCTGAGGGCCCTCTCCTTGCTCAAGACAGCAAAGCACAAAGCTTGTGTCACAAAGGAGGCCAGAACTCTATCCTTAATGATGGCACACACGGACAACTTGGGGTCGGCTGGTGGACACAGCAGCTGTGGGCACCATCTCTCGGCCTCCAGGCCTGGCTTGGGTCTCTGACTGGGTGCCTGTGAACCTGGCATCTCCTGGGCACATGGAAGGGGCAGCAGAGAAGTGTGGATTTCAACCCCTTACTCACCTAAGCTGTCTCCTTCTGCAGCCGAGGTGCAGGGCCTGCAGGAAGGAACGAAGGAAGGTCAGGGCCAACCAACTTGACAGCAGGTGACAGTACGTTTCCAGTAAAGGAACAGAGGGAGCTGGGTGTGGTCAGCTGGCTGAGGTGGCTGGACCTCAGACCCAGCCTTGCTGAAGGGAACAAGGGTGCACCCACACATCCACACCAGCCCTCGGACAGGACTCCTCTGAGCTATTGCCTCGGGAACACTGACAAGCCATGCGTGCTCAGCCAGGTTCATGGCCCTCTCTTGGCCTCAGCCTTCTTGGGGGTGAGGGAGCCTCCTTATAAGTGGGTGAAGAGTTTAGAAGTGTTGGGGGAGGAAATCACGAAGTTCTCAGGCTCGGGAAGCAGTAAGTTTTCAGGAGAGTTACCTACGAGGATGACCCTTTTCCCAGGAGTGGGGACCACAAGGCCACTCCACCCTGGTGAGGACTGGAGACCCAAAGTCGCCCAGGGCAGACTTCTGGAAACCAGGTAAGTCACGTGCCTTGACTCTAAAGCGCCCTAACGGAAGGACTGCTGGACCTCAGAGAACCAAAGTCTGTCCAACCCTTGGCACCACAGCACCACAAGGAGTTAATTTCTGAATAATTTCTACAGAAGAAAACCCCGCCTGTCTGCCTTCTACCCTGTCCTGTGGGGGCGCTGTGAGTCAAAGTCAATCCTATGGCAATAGGCTGATGCCTGTGGTCTGATCTGTCTCGTGTCCACACTCCGCAGGTACCTCTGTCCACAGGCCCAAAGTCCCCATGTCATGCCCAGGGTCTTGGGCACCTCTGCCCGCTGCCCCCTGCCAAGTCCAGGGTCTCCAGGCATGCCCACCAGCTGAGGGCCACAACCGCGGCTCCGGCACCCGCTGCTGACTGTCTCCAGCATGGAACATTGACTTTAAAACTCGTTTTACATTTAACAGAGAAGCAAGCAACAAATACTGGCGAGGTTGTGGAGAAAACTGGAACCCTTATTCATTGTTGGTGGGAGTGTAAAATGGTGCAACCACTGTGGAAGGCGGTATGGCGCTTTCTCAAAAAGTTGTAAATAGACATACCACACGACTCAGCAATTCCACTACTGGGAATATACCCCAAAGAGACCATAACCGACATCCAAGCAGATATATGCACACCCATGTTTATCACGGCTTTGTTCACAATAACAAGGAGTTGGAAACAACCTAAGTGCCCATCAACAAACGAATGGATAGAGAAGCTGTGG